AGTTCACAGCGACCAGGCAGAGATCGCACGGCTGCTTTTCAGCGACACGTGTCATGAGGTAATTTTTATTTATTGGTTGAAGAACTTAAACCTCACTGTTTTTTAACATTGATTTTGCCCCAATGTATTTGAGTGAAACATGAAGTTATTGGACCTTAAAAGGTGACTCTTCCCATTGTTGGTTGTTTTGTTTCCTCTGCTCCAGTTGAACGAGTTGTTGTTGTGTAAGAACTGTTTCTACCTGTCCAACGCCCGACCCGACAACTGGTTCTGTTATCCCTGTGTGAGTATCAACAAAGCCACCAGAACTCCTCTGCTGTGAAACCAGGATCAGTCACGCGTTTCCTAATTAAACATGAAACTAATTAATGAAGCCTTTCTCTCATGGCACCTGTAGCTGGAAGAAAAAAGCTGAATTAATATGTATCTGGCTGGGTTGTTTCTCCTGCAGCGACGCTCTCACTTATTCCTAACCCACGTAAAGGAAAGGGGAAATTCGACTTGTGTCTTCTGTGTAAAGGTTCTTTTTTCTGTTGACAGAGTCCCAGTCACGACTTGGTCTGGGCAAAGATGAAGGGGTTTGGCTACTGGCCAGCCAAAGTCCTTCAGAGGGAGGACAACCAGGTGGACGTTCGCTTCTTTGGACACCAGCACCAGAGGTTAGCACAGTTGGACACATGTTCGTTCAGGGTTGATTAAAAGACTTGATCTGCCTTAAGCCGGGCGTACACTGTGCGACTTTTTCACTTTTTTGAGCCGATTTTCCAGTCGTGCGAGAAGCCACGACATCGGGGCGAGTTTTGCGCCGAGCGGTCGTGTAGTGTACAGGGGGTTACGAGAGGCGATTAACACCACGTGACCAGCCGCCGATCAGCAGTCGTGAGGTCGCAGGGACTTCTGGTGTGTTTAATATTTCGCTCGTCCCTCGTGAGGGTATCGCACTGTTGAAGCGGCGCTGCGAGCAGCTGCGAGCAGCTACGATCCAAAAAGTATCAGAACCGCTCACGGCGCATGCGCGCGCAATCCTGCATAAACGCCGGCCGGTCGCTCGCTATTTCCCTAATAACACACGCAGTTCGTTTTTGTTTCTACACGTTTTTTTACTCACAAAGATTGTCAAGAAAGCGTGTTTGTCGTGTTCATGTCAAATTAAACTGATCACAAAACACAGATTCACTTTCTTTATTTCGTTTTCCTCATCCAACCCCCATAAATCCCTGTGTGTCCTCCTGCAGCACTCCCGAAGAACAACAGGCAAGACAAAAAAGTCTGACGTGTTGAGTAAAAACTGCTATTTTTAGCACATTTTTAGGGCCGAAATGTTGCTACCAGACGTACAGTGTGAGCAGTCAGGTCGCATGCGAGAACTGGGTCGTGCAGTGTGAGCACATGACTCGTGAGATCTGCTCTGCGAGGAAGTCGTACAGTTTGAGCTGAAGCTGAACGCTGCGAGTGAAAAAGTCGCACAGTGTACGCCCGGCTTTATTTTAATTAGAGAGATTTGAACTTGTCTGGTTCTGCCCTGCAGAGCATGGATCCCTGCAGACAACATCCAGGACATCAAGGTGAGCATCCAGCAGCTGCAGGTGAAGCGCAGTAGTGGCTGGAAGAAGGCCTGTGAGGAGCTGGAGGTGTACCAGCGCTTCCTGAGGGAGGGGCGCTTCTGGAAAACAAAGATGGAGGAAAGCCCCCAGCTGCACCAGCAGAACCATCGGCAGCATCAGGAGGAGCCCAGGCTGGAGAGGACAGAAGAAGCTGAGTCCAGCATCTCCTCCACCAGCAATGAGCAGGTCCGCCATGTAAGTGCAGCTCAGTTCATAATCACCCGTTCTAAAGGCAGAAAAGGAAAACTAACGTTTTTATTTTTAACAAATGTTGCTATCTGGCCCAGGTACTGCGAGCGCTAAATTTTTCTTTACACTTTCTGTAAAACCTGCAAATGTTTTTCTCTCCGCTTTTTTCTCACCAGTGTGAAGTTTTTTATAGAGGGTGAAAACTAGGGCTGCACAATATATCGAAAAATTATCATCATCGCGATAACAGGACGTGCGATAGGCCCATTGCAAAGCACGTCAAAAACAGCGATAAATGTTTGGTTCAAACATTTCCATCCGTGTCATACATCAGCTTTTTGTAAACCAGCTCTGTTTTTTACGCGGAAGTATTATTTGACCAATCAAATGTAGCCCTTCTCATATACGGCCAATCAGATTGGTCCGTTCACGTAATACGCCCGCCCCCTACGTAGACCCTTTTGGAAAGCAACACCCGAACTGAGTTAGCGGCGCCGTTCCCTTGTTCGTCATGCTGGCTCAGAGCAACGAACGCACTTTGTGCTGAGGTTTCTGGAATCAGCGCTGCTTTCAAACGTGAACGTGACTCCGCTCGGTGCCGTTAATCATTTTTACCGGGCTGACTCCGACATGTGCCGGTGAACCAACCCACCTTCATGTCGCTAGTATTAGCCCCAGGCTCCGGTTAGCTTCCAGCTAAAAGGCTACAGCACTCTCCTCCCAGTCCCGCCCTGCTAAAGAGGGCCTGGAAAAGTCCCCCCACACATCAAAGTGATTTTTCATTTATGAGCTTTTATAACCTTGTTAATCAGGATAGTTGATTTGCTGCTGCACATAAGCTGTCTGTCAGAAGCTCTGCTAGCCGGTTATCTTAGAGGAGCTAGTTCAATTTGTTAGCTTGTTATCAGAATCATAGTTGCAGTTTCATCATCTGAGCTGCTTTTTAAGGTCTAGGTAAACTTTTTCAATTTGGGGATAAAAACAAACGTTTTCGCATATTTTCCATGTAGTTTTCTTTTTTGCCAGTTCCTCTTCTGAAAGGTAGACAATTGTTTTTCTCTTTCCCTCAAAAATCTTAATATTCTCCTAGTTTGGCCCAGCACAGATCACTTCCCAATAGCAGCAACAGCCTTATATCATAACCACATAAGTGGAGAAAATGCTCAGTAGCAATGAGAGAATTTGCTGTTGCATTTAAGTGATGTTAACTTTTATTTAACATTTAAACTTATTTTCTGATATCATTATTTATTCAGAAAACCCTGGTAAGGGATGTTTTTCTGTATTTGGAGCATCAGAAAAAGTTTTATGGTGGAGGTGATGTTTTAAAGTCACTGAGAAACTGCATGCATGCAGTTTGTTGTTTTGCTGCTAATACAATAGCAGGTGCAGCTGCATGATTTAGCAATAAAAATGTTATGTTGTAATGGAATTCATGCATTAGTTTTTGTTTGCTTTGAACCCAGAGCAGACGTCACACGCCAGACGACATCAACACTGCATACTTTAGTATTTGTTCATCTATTGTGAGTAATATCGATATCGCGATATTAAGCACTGTTATCGAATATCGCAGGTTTTCCTTAAGTTTTCCTTAATAATTAATTTACATGAATTATTTTTTAATCCCTGATTAGTTTACATTAATTTTTTTAATCCCAGATTAATTTACATTATTTTTTTAAAACCTCAGATTAATTTAAATTACTTTTTTTAATCCCAGATTATTATACATTAATATTTTTTTTATCCCAGATTAATTTACATTAATTCTTTTAAATCTCTGAGTAATTTACATAAGAAGAAGAAAAAGGAAAAGATCTTTTCTATAGCGCCTCTCAAGATAAAAATTGCGAGGCGAGGCGTTTCACAAAAACAAAAAATGTAAAAATATAAAAAAGAATTTAGAAAATGTTTAAAAATATATTTAAAATAAGCAAAAAATAGACAATTGTGATTAAAAATGCAAAGAGAGAGAGAGTGAATAGAAAATAAGGAAATCAGTGGATCTTGAGGAAGGTGGAATAGGTGGGGAGAGCAGAATAAAGAGAGAGTGGTGATGAAGGTCATACAAAAGCCAGCTTGAACAAGTGAGTCTTCAGCTGCTTTTTAAAGGAGACCACTGAGTCCACTGATCTCAGGCTCAGGGGGAGAGAGTTCCAGAATCTGGGGGTCACAGCAGCAAATTATCTGTCACCTTTGGTCTTTAGCCTGGTGCTGCACAACCAGCAGGCTTTGGTCACTGGACCTCAGGGACCTGCTGGGGGTGTAGGGACTAAGAAGATCACCAATGTAAGATGGTGCTTGCCCATGTAAGACCCTATAGACCAGAACCAGGATCTTGACATGAACCCTGAAGTTGACTGGCAGCCAGTGAAACTGGAGGAGAAGCGGGGTGATGTGGGTGTGTTTGGAGGACTTGGTCAGAAGCCGAGCACAGGCATTCTGAACCACCTGTAGACGGTTCAGGGAGGTTCTGCTCAGACACGTGAAAAGAGAGTTACAGTAGTCTAAGCATGAGGAGATGAAGGTGTGGAGACTAGGGTTGTCACGGTGTGAAAATTTAACCTCACGGTTATTGTGACCAAAATTACCACGGTTTTCGGTATTATCGCGGTATTTTTTTAAACGTTTTACATTTTCAGACAACTAAATAAACCCTGTATATCAGGAAAATATTGTCCTCAGTTTGTGTCTAAATTTAGCCTAAAATTTGTTATTTTGTAATTATGTTGTTAATTTGTTTACATTTTTTCCCTTTAGTCTTTAAAATAGCAATGTTTGCCCATAACTTCTTATTTTATGTCTGTTTGATGTCATCATTTAAAAATATTAGTTCAGATGATACTCAGTACTCAAGTAGCCTTCTAATTAGATACTTTTTTTTACCCTTACTTGAGTAATAAACCCTATATCAGGAAAATATTTTCCTCGGTTTGTGTCCTTCCTGTGAGCTTTGCAGATTTGGGAAAATGTCATCAGGCAGTAATCATTGTTAAATTCATAATTATTCTCGGAGAGAGACCAACTCTTATCTGCCCCTGGGAGCCCCGTAATGCATAGCGTCATTTCAATTTGGCGGTGTCCGCGACACGGTTTATATGCAGGTAGCGGCGCTGCGGCTGCTTTATATAGCGACTCGTTGCGTTCTCCCTCAACCCAAATCCTCGGATCACACATTTTAGCTAAAACGCTAACGTTAACTTGCCTTGCGTTGACTGTAGAGTTGTGGGTGATGGTAACGCAGATGTGTCATGAGATTTGAAGCGTTGCTGCCTTTCACAGACACTTTTTCTGCACGTGCTGCAAACAGGATAGCCGTCGTCTATAAACTGTCCTTCGGCATTCTTCAAATATCCAAAAAATGTCCGTACTTCCCACTTTGTCTTCTTTGAGGGATAATAAATGTCCTGAGCTCTGCTGTCTCCTCCTTTGGCCATTATTTCAGCTTTAGCTTCAAGAAAGTTTTGGTTGTAAACAACAAAGTGTGCATGTGCCACCGGCAACTTCTGCAGATGATACGGTGGCTGGTAAGGGTCACCGCTCCTACACCGCAGCCACGGTAATCCACCAAGATAATATATTTTTTAAAAAACAAGAAGGTTATTACTGTCAACTTTTTTACTGGGGTTTACCGCTGCACCGGTTACCGTGACAACCCTAGCGGAGAACAGTCTCAAGTTCAGAGCAGGACAGAATGGGACTCAGCTTAGCAATGTTCCTGAGATGGAAGAAGGAAGAGTGAACAAGAAAACTGACATGAGAATCCATAAATTATATGTTTTTATCTCAGATTAATTTATGTTAAAAAATGTTTAATCCCAGATTAATGTACTTTAATTATTATTTTCCTGCAGATGAAAATCAGCCTGGAGCCCAAAGCGAAGAAAAGCCGTCGGACTCAAATAGTTGAGCCTAAAGAGGAAGCCAGTGTACGTGTACGGTCTTTTCTTTTCCCATTATTAATTATTACCTGTTAAAGATTTCTATGTTGAGAAAGCTTAGTGAAGGTGGAGATAATGCAACAGCGTTGGTTCTGCTCCATCAGGACCCGGAGCCTGAGATGGAGGCGGTCAGCTCCAGCCAGGAGATCCCTGTGTCATCAGCTCTTCAGCAGCCTGAGAAGCTGTCCGTGTCCACGCAGACCAAGAAGGCCAGCGGGGGGTCGCCGCGCATGCTGCACCGCAGCACTCAGACCAACAGCGACGGCGCCTGCCAGAACATGTGCCACGAGAAGTACACCAAGGTTTTTAACGATGTCAAGGAGATGATGAAGGCCGACAACAAGAGGGAGACGGAGCGGGTGGTCCGAGAAGCTCTGGAGAAGGTTGGTTTGGATGCCCCGGGAGGATATTCAGGATACCTCTGTGGACTTTGAGATGTCACTTCCTGTTTTCCGTCCCTTCAGCTGCGTGCTGAGATGGAGGAGGAGAAGCGGCAGGCGGTGAGCAAGGCGGTGTCTGGAGTGCAGGTGGAGATGGAGAGGAAGTGTAAACAGGTGAAGGAGAAGTGTAAAGAGGAGCTGGTGGAGGAGGTGAAGAAGCTGGTGGCTCAACACAAGCAGCTCATCTCCCAGACCAAGAAGAAGCAGTGGGTGAGTTCAGAGGTCACCCGTCTCTGTTCACGAGGAGAACTCGACTCGTTTTCCTTTATTTAGAGTTTTTAGATTTAACGTCGGCTGGAATTATGTTGGGATTTAAATTCATGATGATTTTATTATTTTCATGTTTCCTGTTTTAGTCTCACTGACTCTGACTAATTTAAGAATATATGACTTTTTAATGTCTTTTGTTGTAGATTTATTCTTATTTTATTTCCAGACTGATTTAATGTCAGAACTTTAATCACTAATTTTCTTGAAGCCACTTTCCTCTGGCCTTCTGATCGGGGAACTCGGTCAGGACTTTGGGATTATTTGGAGATAAAACGATTAAATTTTAAAATCCGGTAGAGACGAGAGCGAAGCCCTGTGAGGTACTGGTTTGGGGGCTGGTTACTAACTGGAGCTGTGTGTCGTCCTCCCAGTGTTACAACTGTGAAGAGGAGGCCATGTACCACTGCTGCTGGAACACCTCCTACTGCTCCATCAAGTGTCAGCAGGAGCACTGGCACGCCGACCACAAACGAACCTGCCGCAGGAAGAGATGAACAAGCCCCGCCCATTTCTAACCGCTTCCAACTCCTGATTGGTTCTCAGCTTCCCCCTCTTGTCTATGTCCAACACACACACAGAATTCTCCTCCCCTCGCCTTCCCGAAGGGTTCTGCGTCACAGCGAGACAATTCCTGTTATTTAATGTAGCTTTTGTTTATGTTTGTTTTCTGGTTTGTTTTCTCGAGAGCGTGGCTCCGACCCGAGTTGTGGTGATGATCTACATTTTTAACTCGTATGTTTTCTTTACTGAAGTGCTGATTTTGTTATTTAAGTGTAGAAACACGACGTGAGTATTGCTCAAAAACATTTTATTACCTGAACTTTTTACTGTAAATGCAGCAAGCCTGTTTAAATACCAACACAATAAAATGACTGTCGCAGATTTTACGACTTTAAAGTCTTACACCTTTTTGCTCTCCGTAAACGGATTGGGGTGAATAGAACCGTGATGATTTCTGCCTGAGTCTGTTAGCTTGTCGTCACTGGGAACAGGGTCTTTTCACAAGTCTCAGTTAAAATTAGATGTTTCCTTAAAGTTAATTTTGGAGTTTATTTTATTTTTTAGCTATTGAAATCCCTCCCCCAAAAATCCAGGTTTTATTCCAGATTTGACCTGAGAAGCTCGTTGATGTTGCGAAACACTCAGAATTCTTGGTTTGTGTTTAGAGTCTGAAGAAGTGAAGCTGCTGCTGTTTTGGTTTGTTTCTCATCGTCTAAATCCCTCTTCAGCATCGTGAACATTTCCATCATCAGTGAAACAAAACCAGAAGCTTTCTGGTGCGACTGGAGAGCCAATCAGAACAAAATCCAAAAGGATGTTCCTTTCCCCGTTTGTTTTATAATGGAGGCAATCAAATTGCCTGCTTGTTTTTGTTTTACAGTTCTGTGTAAACCGTTCTCGCTCCTTCTGTCTATGCTTTCTCCACAGAGATTTGATGAATTTTCTGTGAATGTTTCCTAAACTGGAAGAACTTTTCTTCTCGGTGGGAATGAAAACTCGATGTGTCCTTTAATCTGAGCTTCGTGTGTCTGACTCCACCCTCATGGCAACATTGATGCTAGATTATTCAAGCCTAAATCCAGTTTTTAGAAACAGGCTCGTCCCTCTCTGCTGTGCTTCAGCTCGGCCTCCAGCATCGCCCCCACCAGAGGACACACACACCCATACGTTTGCTACCAAACAGTTTTTATCGTCCGTCATCGTCTTTCTGGATAATGTTGGTAATTCAAGGAGATTAATGAAGAAAATTTAAATTTAAACACCTTCACCTGTTTCCTCTTTGTCTGAATTAGGATTTAATCTGTTTAGTCTTTGCAGGATTACTTTAAAAATATCAAATAGAATTATCCTGATCACAGCTGAAAGGGTTTAAATTAGTATCACTAAACCAAATAATCTGGTTTATTCTGTCTATGGATTAAATAACTCACGAATGTAAAACGTTTTTAACAGGAACAAGTTGAGATTGAGGATACAAGTTTGTTTATGTTGGGATTTGTTGAAGATCAGATTAAAACCGTGCTATTGTTGGTTTCAGATTTTAATCTGACTTCTCATCTCGAGTTTTCTTTTGATTTCTCTTCGACTCAATCCAGTCTGTTGGGATTAAACCTCTCCGCTGCTCTGGGAAACTTTCAGATGTTCTCTGATTCTGGTGGAAGCTGGAGGGACTTGTTGATGTTACAGTTGCATCCTAAAAATGCTGGTTTTATTTCTGATGTCGTAATGGGTCAGAGTTCACAGCTGCGTTGCACTACATGTAAATATTTCACTTTGGCCGCCCGACTCGGTGTTCTCGGCACATTTCAGATGCGTTTGTGTTTTTTTCCTCATTCATCTTGATGACTGTTAGTTTTGTAAAACTTCTCACATCAGCCTTTGTCATGTTCAGTTTTAATTATATCAAATAATAAAACTTTATTTCACACAGTAAAAGCAGCCAGCTCAAACGTTTTACTTGTGAGCTGAAAAGCTGCCGTTTCTCCGTTTTTATTCATCCAGTTGCAACATTTTCATTTTATTTATTTTATTTTGTTTTTTTATTTGCATGGAAAGTAGGTGTGCATTTCTTTTTGTTTTTCCTCATAAAAAGAAAAATTATGCACTCATCCATGTAATGCAATATGACAATGTGTTTTTTTAATGAAAGTTTTGAGGCTGTTTTTCAGCTGGAGAGAAAAAAAAAGAGTAAATACGTTTAGACTACTGTAACTCTCTTTTCACGTGTCTGAGCAGAACCTCCCTGAACCGTCTACAGGTGGTTCAGAATGCCTGTGCTCGGCTTCTGACCAAGTCCTCCAAACACACCCACATCACCCCGCTTCTCCTCCAGCTTCATTGGCTACCAGTCAACTTCAGGGTTAATTTCAAGATCCTGGTTCTGGTCTATAGGGCCTTACATGGACAAGCACCATCTTACATTGGTGATCTTCTTAGTCCCTACACCCCCCAGCAGGTCCCTGAGGTCCAGTGACCAAAGCCTACTGGTTGTGCAGCACCAGGCTAAGCTGGCATTTGTATGACCTTCTTCACCACTCTATTCTGCTCTCCCCACCTATTCCACCTTCCTCAGGATCCACTGATTTCCCTCTTTCCTATTCACTCTCTGTCTTTACATTTTTAATCACAGTTGTCTATTTGTTGCTCATTTTAAATATATTTTTAACCATTTTCTAAATTCTTTTTCATATTTTTACATTTTTTTGTTTTTGTGAAGCGCCTCGTGATTTTTATCTTGAGAGGCGCTATAGAAATGATACTTTCTTCTAAATCAATCGGATCCCAAATCTGGACTGTACCTGCTCTTTTTCCAGGGTATTTTTGTAAATATTACCGTGATTATTACACAAGTCCTGCTTGTACTTAAAAGTACAAACACCAGGAATGAAATCTGTGCGACTTGTTTCCACTTCCTGTAGGTCATGATCTGTCCACATGTAAACTTGTCATTACCAAGGCGACGTTTTTAAGCTCCCACTTAGTTTTTTTTTTTTGGATACTTTAGCTAGCAATATGTATATAAATATATTATATGTGCTAACATGGAGAAAATAAATGTATCAACCAGTCTGTGGATTCAGCCTTCATTGTTTTCATTGTTTGATTCAACACGTGCTTAAAGTGTCTGAAAGCTAGTACTACACCTTTGTGACTCCGAACCTTCACCTGCATATACTTTAGTTCTTTTTAACCATTAAAAGGTAATATTTTAGTCTCCTTATCATAATGAAGCTTTACAAATATTTCTTGTCCTCTTGGGAATATCAACATGTAAGAGAAACCATTTTGATGACGAGCAGATCACAGGAGTTCCCTGCTTTTGTTCTAGCCTTCTAGCTAACAGCATTAGCGACTTGATGTAGGCTGTTTTTGAATCGCCCAAACAGGACGGGACCAGCCGTCCAATTGCTGACAAGAAAATCAAAAGGGTAGGAATGGGAATGTATCCAATCAGCGTCGACGTTGTTTCAGAAGCGTGATGGGCGATAGAGCTACCGCCAAAGGCTTTCGTTGGTGTTCGGTAAAACTGGGCAGAGTCATTTTTTTGGTCGTGATGCAGATGTAACATGGACGCCGCTGGTGACATGGATACCGGATCTCAGCAGCCACTGAATTCAGTTCGGTCTCTTCTCCAGTATCCGTTCGAGAGGAGAACTATGGTGGAAAAACTTAATGTCAAAGAGCTTGGACCAGATCAGCCCGACGTGAAGTTAAGCCAGCAGGACAAGGAGAGAGGTAAACTGTACACACAAGGCTTCTCCCGTAATTGGTACACCAGGAAGGCTTGGCTAGCTGGATGCAATCACGCTAATGCGTTATTTTGCTTTCCTTGTTTGTTATTCAAAACGGCTGGGACAGATAAGGCATGGATGAGTCAGGAGTTACAGACATGAAACATTTTTCTGAGAAGGTGAAGAAACACGAGTCATCCCGGGCACACATGGACAACAACACGGTGAAGCTAGCCATGCTAGGCAGCAGAGCTAACGTTGCCATGCGGGGAACAACAGCAGCTGGGTGCAGAGGTAAGCTGTACATTACATTTCTGTGAACAAGACAATCAGAATCAGAAATCCTTGGTTGTCCCACAAACCGGGACATTTGTTTAATAACATGTACATTGTTTAATGTGCAATAACTGTAAAAACTCATTTCAACACGCATACTTATAATACATATTTAATCACGTAAATGTGTATTTCATGTAAATTTGTACATACATCAATCTGATTCCATTTTACTTGTTACACTTCTGCTGCAGCAAACAAATTTCCCTGCTTTTGGGACAATAAAACATTTCTGATTCTCAATTAGATGTTTTTACCTCAAATGTAAAAACATCTAATTGAGAATCAGAAATGTTTTATTGTCCCAAAAACTGGGAAATATGACATTTGTAAGAGGATACTGATGACATTATTTCCCATGAGAGTGTTTCCTATGTACTTATCTGTTGTTTTTTTATTTATCTACTTTAAAGAGGATTAAGACTTTCCTGAGGAACACCATGACACAGGATCGGCTGAATGCTCTTGCCATGCTCTCCATGGAAGAAAAGCTTGTCACAAACATTCCTGACTTCAATAAAAAGGTCATCGAGAGCTTTGCCACTCAGAAGGACAGAAGGGCAAAATTTCTGTACAAATGAGGTATCACACACACACACACACACACACACACACACACACACACACACACACAAATGCATTCACTTGATCTTTGTATAAAGTTGACCTTGGCACAACACTCAAAGAAATATTTAACAGTGTAAATTTCTGGCATTTTGTCTAAGTGGTGTTTACTACCATTACTGTAACAGTGACCTGCTCATAATTTTTCGTGTTCACTCAATTGTTGAAATTAAACAAAATGTTTTTGTTACTTGCCTCTTGCATTGCCTATTTACCATTTATATGTGCAATTTAATGCAGTATTTTTCAACCTTGGTCCGCAAGGCAGCGTGCCAATAGTCAGACACACCTGGATTAATCAGTTTGTCCAATGATGTAAGAGGGGAAATAAAAGAGCTGTGCTTAATTCAGGAAATAGTGAAGTTGTGCACAAAGCTCAGAAAGCACAAGTTTGTTTAAAAATAAAAAATAGCACAGCCCCACCAAAAATATTTTTCACCAGCCGCCACTGATTGTTTAAAATTTTAAAATGTGTTTTTTTGACTTTAGGTTGAACAGGAAGTTTTAAATAAAGAGTCCTTAGTTTAATAATGGCGCTTTTACCAAATTTGTAAATTATGTTGTTCTTGTTGACTTTACAAGGGTTTAGTTGATCAGTAAAACACCGTCTAATAAATTGGTTGGTACACTTTTTATCCATAAGGGGAATACCTTGGATGGAGATAGAACCATACTGTGGATTTATAGGTTGGTGATGAATAATGTTTCTGTACTGGAAGACCACCTCTTTAGGAAGCGCTATTAATAATTTTATAAAATCAGATTTAGGAGGGCTAAAGTTATATTTAAGACAAAATTCATCGTACCCTAGTAGTTCACCATTATCTTTCATCAAGTGTACAACAGACCACATTTTCCTATTCATCTAATCTTCATAAAATAGTGACCTATTACTGCATAATACATATCTATTGTTCCAAATTATAGATGAGTGAGGGGAATAATTATGTACATACAACAACTTCCAATAGTACTTGTTTGTGGAACTCTGATAATTTTGTGGGCAGTTTGTTTATATCAAAATCTGATAACAGTAACATTTTTAGACCACCCATTTTGTTAAATATATGAGTGGGGATAGAATACCAGAAAGCGTTCGGATTCTTGAGCCATGATTTTAGCCAATTCATTTTGAGTGTTCCGTTAAGGCAATTGAAATCTATTACTATTAAGCCTCCATCTTTAATTTCTTTGACCATTTGATCTTTCTTTATATAGTGTGGCTTATTTCTCCAAATGAAGTTAAAATTGATGGTGTTAATCTTTTTAATTAGCTTGTTTGAAATTGCAGTACTGCAGGTTGGATAAACTAATCGAGATATACTCTCCATTTTGGTTAAACAAATGCGCCCTAATATGGAGAGATCCCTCTGAAGCCAAATATTTAGTTAGGCTTTAATTTCATTAAGTTTATTTGTTATGTTTGTCCTTAGGTTAAATTGTTGGTCTTTGGAAATATATGTTCCTAGATATTTAATTTCGGATTTGATGGGAATGTTACAAATTTCTTTTAGAGGGGAGTCATGAATAGCCAATAGTTCACATTTTTTCAAATTTAGCTTAAGTCCACATGCTGCAGAGAATAGCTTTATTTTATCAATAGCAATAGGAATTTGTTTATAATCTTTTAATTTGTTGTCCAACCATGGCCCTGCAGCAAAATGCTAGCGCTTTTTGATGACGAAATCTGTTGTGGGGGAAAAACGTGTCCTTCCTATAATTACCGCTAGAAGGCAGCAACTTTCCACACAAGATTATGTGAAACTTTAAACAAACGTTAAAACAAATTAATGTAACGTATTTTACTTAAATCTTTCTTAGCTAATTTGAGCCATTACATTTTAACTTTGTAGGGTTTGGTAAATTGAGTGCTTTAAGAGCTCAGTATATATATTACCTCTACTTATGACCAATAAGCTGTGATACTCTATATAAATATAGAATATCAACCTGCTTGGTCTTTACCATGTTTAGTCAGAAGATTCTAGGATTCTTTGTTTTATTCAGGGATTGTAAACACTTTGTTTTGATTCAAGGAAAGAGTCAGGTTTGTAAAAGTAAGGATTTAATTCACAAACAATTTAAACATGACAAGTTAACTAATATTTCCTGTGATGGATGAATCTAGATGTAGTATATATTGCCTATGTGTGAATGCGATGTTATCAGAACTTTCGTATCTAGGGTGTAAAAGAATTTGGTTTGCGTTAAGCTACGAAGTTAATTCTTATCAAAACGCATCAGACGCAATCACACTGTGTTCTACCTCACCCCCTTCGGAGACCCTCTTCACGGATCAGGTGGTCATCGAGGTCGGATGACCTCTTAGTACCCAGGTCCAGTAGACTGACCACAGCGCCGACTTCTCCCATCCAGAGATGTCGCCAGGCACACAGGTTGGATGGAACTGTTTGCGTCTAGACCCTAAGGAGTCGGAACAAAATCAGCTTGTTCTGCAGGAACTTTTTGCTGTCAGCTTTGCAACAACCTTGACAGCGTGTCGAAGCTGCTTAGTGAAAGACCTCACCACGGACGACTGTTTCCGTAGCTTCCTCTAGAACTGTAGAGCTGGAACTCGACCAACTGCAATTGCTGAATCACCAGAGTGATCATGTTTTAATGATCTCATGTTATGATTTGTGTGGCCAACCAGAGGTTGGCATGTTGAGGAATATTACCAAGGCAACCTCAGCAACTACGCCTTCTCAGATACCGGATGCTCTGATCTGGGATAAAGAAATACGTTATCACGTGTTCAGAGCTGCAGAGAGGCTCTGAGCTCCAGCTGATGGGATAAAGGCAGGCAGATTTAAGGAAACAAATGCAGTCTCGTGTCTCCATTTTGATCAGATAGTGAAGGGTCAAACTGTACTTAAAGCTGACCATTGCTGGACATTACAACTTTAACCAAAAAAAAAAAAAAAATCTAAAACTTGTAATCATCACATTCAGTTTCTACTTTAAGACCAAAATCTGCTTTTTCAGTCGTTTTTAGTCTGTCTACCATGTTTTTAGATTATGTTTATGAAAACAGCAACAGGCTCGATGTGGGTCACTCAGGAATACAGTACAAAATGTCACTAGATGGCCACAAGAGGGCGACATTTTCCCAACAGGTTACTGTTTTTATAGGCTTACTTCCATTTTAACTGCATTGGTGAATTATTCAAACGTAGACATCACCTTAATCTGACATCACATACTTATTAGTACGCTACAGTTTTAGTGAAGTTTTCTTTTATTAATGAGAAAATCAAATTTTCCAAACATGCGTGAACCTTTGATAGTTGAACCATTTAGTGGGATTTGGTTTGACACCAGTAACTAAATGAGAATTACTTCTAATATATTACAAAAATGCATTATAGAAAGATGTTTTTATATATTTTAGCAACATTTTAATAAACCCCTGAAGATTGATATCTTTCTAAAAATGGATCTGAACATTAAAAGGCAGGCCTCGTAGTAAACGTAATTCTCAAATAGTGGGAAAAAAATTAAAGTTTAATTTGGTTTAACAAACTTTGTGATGGTCTGATTTCCTACAACTAGTAATTACAACAAGACAAACATGTTTTTATAGTCAAAATTGTTGAAATGTTTAATTAAATGAAAGACATGATGCAAACACATTAAAAAAAACTTGACATACATTTTTTGAGAAGAAAAACAGTGAGGAAAGTGCTTCTTTAATATATTTTTTAAAACCCTCTTGTGTTGAAACCAGAACATTCTCTGCTGCTCTTAAAGGGTCTCTGATTAAAACACTTATTCCTGTTGATGACATCACCGTGTGAGCCCTGATTGATCTGTCCATGTAAAAATATGACGGACTCTCCGTTCTGTTATTTACAGTTTGCGGTGGCGGGAGAACAAGTCCGGTTCTGCAGGCAGGAGTTATACTCCAGCGAAGGTGAGATGACGATTTAGATGTTTCTTCCTTTTGGCATTAGCTGTACTTTCTTTCATCACCACCAGAGGGCAGCCATCTTGCCAAAAGAAACTTTTCTTAGCTAATTTTAAATTTAAAACCACAATAAAACTCAGCCAAGTTTCACATTTCAGACTAAAATGCAAACTGTCACATGTTTGTAATTTCTTTAATAATATGTTTGATGTGCGTCTGCTTCACTCAAGATAATACGAGGCTCTTCAGCAAATATTCAAGAGCAAAACATTCTTGATTGTGTCGTCATAAACTTCTGTTAAGAGAAACAAAATAAATTAAGTCAGTTTGTTTTTGTACATAATTACATGATAAGAGTTTATGAACAATTCAGCTGAAGCTGCTGACTAATGTGAAACCAGTTAAAGGCTGCTTGTGTGTGTGTGTGTGTGTGTGTGTGTGTGTGTGTGTGTGTGTGTGTGTGTGTGTGTGTGTGTGTGTGTGTGTGTGTGTGTGTGTGTGTGTGTGTGTGTGTGTGTGTGTGTGTGTGTGTGTGTGTGTGTGTGTGTGTGTGTGTGTGTGTGTGTGTCAGCTGCTGAAATGGGCCACTTTGTTTAGAAAATAGATAAATGACTAAAGCTGACATGAAATGACCGTACCTCATTGTAAAACCAGTAATCAGCGACCCTTTGCTCCTCCTAATCGTCTGAAAACACATCTCTGATTTTTAAAAACAAAAGAGCCAAAACTTTTCCGAGGGTGTTTCATTTTTAAATCTCACGATTTAAACGTTATAGACTCTAGGTAACGTTGGCGTGATTCGGTTAATAATCAGCTCAAATCTCAGGGCAAATGGGGTCCGCTACTTCCTTTGAGCTCAGCACCAGAATTCAGCTTAACCCTCCACCAGGGGGCGCTACATGTTGTAGGCCACATAGATGGGGTCCAGCTGGTCAGCCAGGAAGCCGTCGCGTAGATGCATCCGCTGCTTCTCGCCTCTGGAGTTGATGGGGATGACGCCGATGTCGACTACGACCACAACGCCGACGATCAGGTAGTGCTCCTCCAGAACCACGTTGGTGACCAGAGGGACCAGATCCAGGGCCTCCTGCTCCGACCCGTCCAGCTCCACCACCACCACCAGCAGGTTGGTCCACGTGAACACGGCGCTGCAAACACCAAAGCAGATTATTCTCTTTCACAATCAGGATTACATTCGATCAGGTTAGAAACATCTTCAAGTTTATAACAAAGCTGTGATGCACCAGAACATCTGGAGGTTCACTGCTGCTAATCCTCATATCAGATTATTGTTGGCCTGTGTTTCTTTACCAAATCCTGCCGTTCTGCATTAATCTCCAGTTTATTCCTGAACAGGCCTACGACAGAAGCTCTGATGTCCTTCCAGGGCATCTGTGGTAAAGCTCTCCCGCATGGAGATACCTCATCTCATCTCCATGGTGAGGGCTGCAGCACCCTGAGGAAACTCATTTCAGCTTCAGTCCACATGGATCAGAACTGAAACCTTCACTTTTCCCTCCACTGTCTGGAGCAGCCGTGAAGACCACATCCAAACCTTCAGGCAGGAACTCAGCCCCTCCCAGGTAAGGCCTCAGACTTTACAGGAGCCAACTTTTCTTCCAGCTGCATCACACTTAGCTGGGAACCTCCTCAGTGCTGAAGGTTGTGACATGAAGATACCACCAGTGACAAGCCCCTCTCTCCACAAACGGGTTCAGCGTGAACTAGTCTAGATAAATCGTTCTCCAGCCACACCCTATTTCCTTTCCTGAGTTATTGGTTAATAATCCTGAAGTTGCTGTAACTAAGTCCTGAACGTCTCTTCCACCTTTCATCCCTGGTGTCCACCAGGAGGTGGAGCCAGCATCGACCTTCTGCTCACAGCTCCGACCATGGACTCCATGTCCCAGTCTTCACCACTAATTTGGGTTTACCAGGTGTGTCTGACATCATACCTTGCACCAGGTGAGGGCTCTGCTCCTCTGCTACCAGGGACACAGACCTCAATGTCCACATAAGTTCAAAAGTGAGACAGCACTCTGGTTCAGATCACCTGAGCAGCGTCTCTCTTTGGACCTGAATGCTGGACATGGATTGTCCATAGGTCTACCTGGTCTCAGGTGGAGAGAGGAGCTGAGGACTGGACCATTGCCACACATCCAGGGGAATTTTCCCATGTCCTTGGAAAGCTGAGGCCAGAAGGTTGTTGGTTTCTTCTGTTGGTGGATAAGTAATGATGGAAGCGATCAAGCTGAAAATAGAGATCTTTATGGCCAGAATGATTTCAGCATCTGAGGTTTAGCAGCAGAGGGACTTTGTAGGAGAAGGCCTTTCAGGCGTTGTGTTGATGGTTTGGGTGATGATGTCCTCCTCTGAGAGGAGATGGATGACATGCCGCTTCAGGGTCCAGATGGGAGAACAGCTGTATCGTAGATCAGGCTGGAGGTCAACATGTTTTATGGACTTAAAAAATGAATCCCCGTGGGTGTTCTGGGATCGCTGGTGAGGCCTGGCCTCTGGCAGGTCTGCTCCTTGTTCCTGATCCTGGAGTTCATGGACAGGACTGAGTTATCTTTGGTGTGTTCTTGCTGTGCTTAGTTTCTAATTCCATTGTTGGTTCTTTTTTAAAAGACAGAAAAGTTTTTTTTTTACCTTGCTGACTGTTTCGTTTGCATCTGCAGACATTTTCAGAGCTGACGCTGATGGTGGCGTCACTTCCTACTCCGTGTTTAACATGCGTTGTCGCCCTCTGCTGCCCGCTCTCCGACGATGCAGTCCCATGCACGATCCAATGAGTAAACCCCATCGTTTCTGTTCATGGTCCCACGTCTCCTTATCTCGATAGCTTCTTTTATCCATCTTTTGTATTTCTGTTGTTCGGTGTTTATGATCCTTGTGTTGTCCATTATATGGTTCTGTCTTGTGCAGTGATCTGTTACGGCTGACTTCTTTATTGTACTTTCTGCTTCTTGTTTTGCTGCTCTTGTGTGTCTTCGACTTGTTTCTTTCTCGCACTCCTTTCTATGTTCTATTGTTCGTGTGTTGAGTTGGCGTCCGGTTTCTCCTGTGTATGTTTTATTGCAGAGTTTGCATGGGATTTTGAAAACGACTCCACACTTCTGTCCAGCTGGTATCTTGTCTTTTGGGTGTACTAGTCTGTTTCTAACTGTTGTGTATGGTTTTGTTGGTGTGTTTATGTTGTGTTTTTGATGAAAATAACCAGGCAGACCGACGGGACCCTAAACATAAACACATTTAGGAAACCAACACACACAGACCAATATTTATTATGGCCATCAGATCACCCTACCATACACAAAATGTCAATAATCAGAACATTATGTCACCGAGCAAACATGATAACAGAAGAAAGAGACCGTAAACAAGAGGACAAACACATACAACATGCTTTAAAAACCTGCGGATACCCGACATGGGCAATAAACAAAGGAAAACAACAAACAACAACAGAAAGAAAAGAACAACCTAAGCAAAGAACCAGAAACCCAGAAAGACAAGAACCAAAACCAGTGATAACCCTACCATACATCAGAGGCATAACAGAAAAAAATAACAGCAACAATGAAAAAACACAGCATAAACACACCAACAAAACCATACACAACAGTTGGAAACAGACTGGTACACCCAAAAGACAAGATACCAGCTGGACTTAAATGTGGAGTCGTTTACGAAATCCCATGCAAACTCTGCAATAAAACATACATAGGAGAAACCGGACGCCAACTCAACACACGAACAATAGAACACAGAAAGAAGTGCGAGAAAGAAACAAGTCGAAGACACACAAGAGCAGCAAAAGAAGAAGCACAATAAAGAAGTCAGCCGTAACAGATCACTGCACAAGACAGAACCATATAATGGACAACACAAGGATCATAAACACCGGACAACAGAAATACAAAAGATGGATAAAGGAAGCTATAGAGATAAGGAGACGTGGATGTGGGACCATGAACAGAGACGATGGGGTTTACTCATTGGATCGTGCATGGGACTGCATCACCTGAGAGGGGAGAGGGGGCAGCAGAGGGCGACAACGTCCTCTGCTGCCCGCCGACGAACGAGAAGGAAGTGACGCCACCATCAACTCTGAGGAAGTTTTGCAGTCGGCAAACAAAACTGTCACCAAGGTAAAAAAAACCTCATCTGTGTTTTAAAAAAAGAACCAAAAACGGAAAAATGATTGAGTTATGAAGCGGAGGGTTTGGGGATCTCAAGATCTCGATGTATCAAGGCTCCTTACTAAATGATGAGAGGGTTGTTCTGGTTCCTACTGTCATCTGCAGCCAGGAGATGTGAAGTGTAGCCATAAGCCTAGTTTATGCTTCTGCGCCGGCTCAGAGACACGCAACGCCGTGAAGGTTCTCCAGCAGGCTCGCAAGGACCAACAAAGCTGCTTTCGTCAACAGCACCACCTCGAAAACAAAGAAAGGTATCGGGCACGGAGCAGCTTGAGAAACACCTCGCGGAAAACCTCTAAATATGAACTTTCGCAGGAAACGTGGGTTTAGAGGTGGGAGGGGAACAAGGGACACATTTGTTTTTGAAACTATGGTAATTTTACTATCTTGGACCGTATCCTTGATGGGATACCCCAGAACAGCGCTACAGTCTCTGTTGTCCTGGTGGGAAACGGTTTTGCAACATTCCCAGGGGACGGAGAAGTCCGAGAGCAAAACGTCTTCGCTGACGCAGAAGCACCAACTAGGCTTTGGACCTGAGGTTAGAGCACATTTTGTGTTTGAGTTCCTCACCACTCTGTGATGCTCTTGTGCGTTCGGATGACGGAGGTCTCAATGTCAATGGGGTGATAACGCATCCCCCTCAGCTCCATGGCCTCCTCCAGAGCACCGACCACATAGAGGGCATCGTGCCGCTCTGCAGACGACACACAGGACTGTAACGTCACATTCTCCAACAGTAAGTATTACAGGTTACTTTAGGTCAGTCATGTATTCATGTTAAAGCTGCTTGTTGCCATGGTAACAGGAAGTGAGTATTGTAGGACCCAGATCTTAAAGAGCAAGTCACCCCCAAATCAGCGTTTTTTTCCCTGATATACTATATAAATGTGTGTCTAATCGTGCTGCAGACACGTGTAGTCAATAGTTTTGCACTTTAGTGCATTTTTGTTAAAATTTTAATTTTCTGCCTAAAACTGTCAATGTTGTGCCATTGTCAGGTAAAAACTTTGCACTGCATTTGAATTTAAATCTGCCATCGCTATTGGCTAAGAGATACCCTAGAACGTTAGCTGGTACCATATGATGTCACAATGTTGTTGTGAGCCTGTGTGTGTGTGTCTATTTGGTAGCGGCTCTGCCTTCTCGGTCTGCTAGGCAACAGCATTTGTTGCATTTTTCGAACAGAAAGTGGGAGAGAAGTAATACTCTGGTAGGGGGTGACTTGCTCTTTAAGGTTCATCCCAAAAGGAAATGATCTCCTACAACAGGAGGTTATTTTAGTCCAAGCAGCTGTTTTTCCTCCGTTTTAACTCTAACAGAAAGCCTTCCCTCACCTCCGCTGGCGTCTGTGAGCTCCGTCCTTCTGAGGAAGCCCAGGTATCCGGTTCGAGCCCAGACGGTGTGGGTGTCTCCGAAGCTGAGTCGGGAGCTGAAGTGGTCCGACTGCAGCAACTCGTCTCCGTACACTGTGAAGTAACCGCTGGCGTTGTGGCCACTGTGCACCCAGATCTACAGACGTAGAAGAACAGCAGCTGTTCAGCTTCTCTGTGTCTCATCTAAATATTCGTCCACTCCTAGAAATACTTAAACTGTACTGCATCAGCGGTAACGTCCAGTCTACGTTTTACTAGTGTTTCATATCAGAGAATGAAACTCCTTGTCCTGTAAGATTCAATAAAGGCTTTTCGACTCACTTCTTTACTTAGTAATGGTTTTTAAATCACTTAACTCAGTTATTTTAGACAATAACATAAATCATACTCCAGCTGATGAGTGGCATTTGCTTTAAGCAGGAATAAATGGGACAGAATAAACAGTTTTTTCCACTTTTGTTGGACGAACCTCTCCCAGATGCGACTCTCCCATCGGTCCTTTGGTCTCCGGGTTGGCGATGATGATTCTGACTCCGGGTAGGATCTGGAGATCCGACAGAAACGTAGAAGGATGCTGAGGCTTAACTTCTGCTCACGTCGGCAAATTAAGTTTTCTAATAATTATTTCATCATTGGATTCAGCTGATGCTGTGTGGAGAAGTAGTTACCCTCTTTGTTAAACCGTGATTTAGTGGAGTTCAGTTCCAGCTGTAGGATGAAGATCCTCATGGGGACCGTGAGCTCTCCGTTTACCAGTTTAAGGGATTTTTATTCTCATCAGATTAAAAACAGATTAACTGTTTGGTGAGGAACTCACCTTCCCAGACTCCATCAGAGGTAAACTGTGTGGCGACCCTCTCTCTACGAGTCGGACCCTGTTCAGCAAAAGAAAAACAGACACTGACTTAATAAACACAATCTCAGTGATTATAACAGAAATTCCCTTCAAGCCTCAACTCAAAATTAAATTACAGACAAAATAACTGGACAAACGTTTCCATGGAGACGGAATCAAAGGGTTGGTTGGTCGGATTAGAGTTTCTGCTGCTTAAATCAGCGATGGTCACTCTGACGACCGGAGCAGCAGGACTCTACACGTCCTCACCGCTGCGTGGGTGAAAATCAGCTGGATCGGCTAAAGCAGCCAGCAGGAGGCTCACAGCTTCTCCACCGAATGTCATCAAGTCTCTCAAACCTCCAGCAGAACGACTCAGAACTAAAGCCCGAAGGGTGTTTTTCCTCTTAAGACGTCACCGAGGCTGTGAGGGTGACGACTAATGCGCCTGAGGTACGATCCTCCAGCTCCTCGTTGAGCTATCCTTTTCTTACGTCTCGCTGCAGCTGGAGAACAGGCCCGGCATTAGAGATCTCCTCGCTGTGCCTCCCTCATTCCCAAACGCGGCCCGCTTCATATTCATGAACCGAGATCCCACGGCAGCAAAAGGAACTTTTTATAGAAGAAGAAAACCAAAATCTAAAGTCTGAGGAGAAAAACAGGACCAGAGTCGTTCTAACAAACAGAAAAAATAAACAGAAATCTGAATAGATTTATTAAAAGGTTTCTTATAATTCTGGCAAATTTGATCTTGTTTTAATATTTCCTGGTAAATATGTGATATTAGAAGAAGGCTGATAGCTCTGGGAGAGGGGCTGGAAGAACCATCTCACTACGATAAAATAATCCAGTAAAATCTCTTCATAGGAATAAAGCTGCACCAACTCTTCAATCCCAAAAGAGGAACACTTAGATTATAATGACGCATGAATCCATGCAATCTGAAAATATTTTGGTGACACCACATTAAAAAAAGACCTGAGGATTTTTAACAATTCTGGAAATAATCAAAAATGTCTGAATATTTATTTGATTCTATCAGTTCAAACAGGAAACACCATGCCTGACTTAACTGACCTGTCGTGTCGTAGTGCCCTCATATCCACGTAGACGGTCGTCGGGTCGGGTCCTGATGTGCCCTGAGAAACACAACAACCATCCGGTCACCGGGCAAAATCTCACAAACAAACAAACTGCTGATCCACGGGACTCGACTGCTCGTGCAAGACTGATCAGACACAAACTAAATGGAAGTGAGCATCAGGACGAGTTTGACAAAAATAAAACAAAGTTAAACTACACAGTTTTATACACCAAGGCCACAAACCTCATCATTAGTTTGAGACTGAAAACAGGAAACTCCCCCATCCCTCCATTACTTGTGATTTTTACAGGAGAAACGATTACCCCATCACCACAACTCACTAGCTGCTTTAACATTAGCATAGCCCAAAAACTCCACCGTGAGTAACATTTTAACAAATGTGTAAAAAAGGAACTAAACATTAAAGAAATGTGACTTGTTTTAATAATCAGAAGAGATCACAGACCCACCAGAGATGGCTGCTCAAGTGTTTCTGATTTATAAGCTAAGCTACACTAATAATTAAGACTTTTTTAGTTTCATGTGATTCAGCAACTTTAGACTCTTAATGTTACTGAATAATTTTACAATCGAAGTTTAAAATCTGAGTCTGTGCTGCTGCTGCTGAACTGAACTCAGCTGTTTTACTTTGTGAAGAGTCGAGACGAGTCGTGATTTGGTGCTACGTAAATGAACTGAATTGAATCGTCGGTTGCTAGGAGATGTAGGATAGAACAGTATTAAAGAGTAAGTCACCACCAAATCAACTTTTTTCCCCTGATAAACTAAATAAATGCGTGTCTAATCGTGCTGCAGACACGTGTAGTCAATAGTTTTGCACTTTAGTGCATTTTAGTTAAAATTTACATTTTCTGCCTAAAACTGTCAGTGTTGTGCCGTTGTCAGGTAAAAACTCTGCACTGCATTTTAATTTAAATCTGCCATCACTATTGGCTAAGAGGTACCCTAGAACGTTAGCTGGTACCATGTGATGTCACAATGTCGTTGTGAGCCTGTGTGTGTGTATTTGTTAGCTGCTCCGCCCTCTCGGTCTGCTAGGCAACAGCATTTATTGCATGTTTCAAACAGGAAGTGGGAGTGGAGTAATACTCTGATAGGGGGTGACTTGCTCTTTAATATATAAATCAAAGTTCTTTACATCAGGGGTGTCAAAGGTCAGGGGCCATTTGTGGCCCTTGTGTTCTTTATGTCGCCCCCGATGGTAGAATATTTCCTTTTAGGCCTTAAATAATGCAAAAATATAAAATAAAACCTTTTATAAACAGAAAAACTTCAAGTCCAAACAAAAAAGATTTAACACAATTAAAAAAAATCTGATCTGCATTTAACCTCTGCACAGAAACATTTGATTCTGGGTTATTTTTTACGATTTTATGTTTTAGTTCTGACTTAAACATGCATGAGCAGAATGTTTATGATCAAAGTAACTAAATCACCTCCACGTCCCATTCATGTGAATCCTACTGTTCTGTGACTCATTTCAGTTAAAAGTTTCAAACACTTTTAAAAGCTTATAAATACCACAGATAAAATATATGAGGGACCTTTTTAGTCTGAATCCATGCAACACATCTGATGAATCCAGCAAGCGAAGCCATTCGTTTGACTAACTGGTAATGTTATTGTTACAGAAAAGAGAAACCAGTGCCTTTCATCGTTCCAACATCTCCTCTCAGGCGTCCTCTCTCCTCCTCCATCATTTCTGAGGTTGTTCCCAGGAGAGAGGATTCTTGTGGAGCAGCACAGAGGGAGGAAACACTGTTTAATCCTGTCTGGTGCATAAATCCTATCAGGTGTGTGTCAGTGAATCGTGCACGTGTTGATGTAGCTTTGCGTGATGAAAAGCACCCAAACGCTCTAAACCACAGAGTGTTTGCTTCTTAACACCCAGGAAATTAGTGGAGTTATCCTTAATTTTTAATCTAAAGTCAGCTGGAGCGGGCTGTGCTGACAAGTATGGTGGGGGGAGGGGGTTCTTGGTGGTTTCCTACCTGGTCGGCAAGCTTTCCGAGCCTGTGAGGCTACAGCAGCAGGGAGGAGGAGGAGGAGGAAATGAAAGGGAGCAGAGGAGGCAAAGACAAAACCAGGTATGAGAAATGAGAGCGGAGTTATGCAAAAGAGGGAGGATAAAACTCAGAGAAACCAAACAAGCTGTTAGAACCAAAGAGGTGAAACTCAGCCAGACGTTAGTCCTACGGGCGGACCCCAAGCATCAGATCAGATGTCTAATTAAATAACCTGAAAGTTGAAGATGGATGGATGGATGGAGCTGAATGTGAGACAGAAGACGACGACGACGACTCCGGCTTAAGTTTTGAGCTTATCTCCAGTTTTTGTTGGATTAAAATCCTTCCCATGCAAATAAAACTATTCAAGCGTTCCCACGCCGAAAGGGCCCGACATTCCCTAAAACATGTATGGATTACTAAAATATTCAGCTTTAAACTTCTAGAGCAGCAAAAACCATAATTTATCTGATTATTAATAAATAAAAGTATTAAAAGTGAAAAATGTCACATCTTTGCAGCATGTAGAATAGTATTCCATTGGGAATAACACCAAAACAGAATAATTACAGATCATTTTTATAGTCACATCTTAGGATTTTACCCAAATTACAGCTTTCCTGAACACACTCACCGCAGGCATGTTTGAAACATGAAGCTTCAGCAAATATGTGTAATATCTTAATAACCAATAAAATCTGTTATTGGTCAACGAGTCTCATGTTTAACATGTGACTAAATGGTAGAGTCCCATATCTACACCAGAGAGCAGAAGAGCAGCCAAGAAGCCAAAAAAGCACCTAAAGATGAAATATCCGAAGCAGCTTCTCAAACATGAAACTGGGTTTTTTGTGTGGAAGCAAAGTGGAAGCACTGGGGAGTTGAATACGACACCAACGGACCTGCAGGCAGATGGCCAGGTTGACCCTGCAGCCGAAGGAGGTGCTGACGGCCCGGGGGTGCAGGCCGAGGTCTTTGAAGAGTTTGGAGAAGGACTGGGTCAGGGCTATCCTGGGACGCTCCTCCGCTACGACCACACAGGTCCTCACCCGAGACAAGTCCAGTCCTCGAGACTGGACAGGAAAAGAACGATAAGATTAAATCATTTAGCACGGCTGGAGGCGGAGACTGAGCTGCCCTCACCTTCAGCGAGTCTGTCTGCAGGCCCAGACCTTTGGTGCAGAGCTCCATCACACTGTAGGAGCAGAAAGTGTCTCGGACTTTGTACTGACTGACGGCCGACAACCAAAGAGCCGGGTTCACTTCCAGCTCCGATGGAGGAATCAGGATAGACTGGTGACCTGAGTACACGCTGCAGAGAGACAAGAGCAGAATGAGGTCGTTTTTTTTATCTCAGGAAGCACAAAACAGACTTTATTAAACCTTTCAGAGGAACTACTGAATGTGGATCTGCAGCGCAAACCAGTTCAAGATGGCTGCCAGAGCTCATCACCCTTAGCAAAAACAACGATAAAAAGGAGTCACACCTACATTCAGACTTATGATCCCAGTCACTTCCAAGTTATTTTTCTAAATTAAACAAATTCCTGAGATCTCACTCTAAAACTCGGGCCTTAACGCTGCGGGTGATCTGGTTTTGATCCTTAAACCTACTAATGATAATTTGGCTCCAGCTAAGATCTGACCTGCAAAGGCACCAGAGGACGAAGCCCAGGCCGCAGTACGGGTCCAGGCAGATGGCGACCTCTCTGGACGGGTAAAGCTCACACTGCAGCTTGATGGAGCGGCAGAAGGCACTGGTGGCTGTGTGTGACATCTACAGCAACACCAGAAAACAGAAACAACAACAGATGATGATAAAACAGGATGTTTGTACACTAGGTCACAGGTCCGAGGAAAGAACTCACAAAGAAACCCTACAGGATGAATTCTGCCCCTCGTGCACGGCCACAGGTGAAAGCGACTCTTGGATTAACTTAACTAAACTCAGGATGCAGCAGCCGCCGCACAAACCGACCGCCTCGTTGGTCCTCTGAGGATGTTGGCAGCAGCTTTCGTGTCCTGGCTTTGACTGACTCGCTCATTAAACACACAGATTAATCATAATGAACAGGCGACTCAGCTGCACATGAGGGAACAGCCCGGCATTGTTTCTTCCTGCCCTGGGTTTCCTTTCTGCTTTTGTGCTGCTGATTAGTGTCTGCAGCCACAAAGAGCTCCCTAAGGGTGCTTTTGTGTCTCTTCTGTTGCAGTTATGATGCAAAGTGACACACCAACAGCCGCAGATGGCGAGAGCACCATCAGAAATGGCATTAAGCAGCACGCAGAGCCAATAACTGACAGTGGATATATACTACAACTTGAATGAATGTAGGAGAAGTTTCAGAGTGAAATGTTTCTGCTGAGGGTCTGGAGAGATCCAGATCAGAATTAAGGAGATAATCAGTCTCAAAGTAGGATTTCTAATGTGTCGTAAAACTAAGCAGGGTCGTGGAGCAACTCCTGTGCAATCTGTGCCGATAAATTACAACATCTACCCACACGTTAGCGCTTGTACTAACATGAAACATGACTTATCTACGTATTTTATGTCACAGAGATGCTGGAAGGCTCTGATCTTAAAGCATCCCGTTAACCTAAGGAGCACAGTTTGTTCTGGTCTACTTCAGCTTTGAAGCATTCAATGACCTTTTTTAAACTGCAGGTTTATTATACGGAAGTTCATATACTCTTTTTTTTATCCATTTCAGCACAAAAACAAAGCTTAATCACAGCAGGAACATAACTGTTAAAGAACCTCATGGAAATTTCTGTAGTTTTTGTGACGAGGATGATTAAAGGCAAATTTAAGCTCGTTTTATCCTTTAAAGAGTGAATTTTCCAGAATTTTTAGGATCATTTCACTTTTTGACTACATGAAATCTTTTATTTTATGAAGCAAAATCCTGTTTTAAATATTGACATTTCATCTAAAATAGTTTTATTTCTGTCTGCTAAATAAATGTCCACGTGTATTGAAGGCTTGGGCGATTTGTATAATTTCTCCCACCGCCAATCGTCAGTCCAGTAAACGACGATGGGTGATTTAGTCATGAATACAGTAGAAGTGCAAACACAGATTTTTTTATAGAAGTGCAGCACAAGTGTTTGCTGGAAGAGAAAGTTTGACTTTTCTTTTTGTTTATGTTGTTTTTATAGTTTGGTAGTGACGTAAAAACGGCTCCTACAAACGGTTTGGACGCACTCTGAAGAGGGAGCTTTTGCTTTTAGCCAGAGGTCACATGATCCATTTATCCCCATCACTTTCATATTTAAAATAATAAAAAATCATTCAATTTCCATTAATTTTTTATTAAAATTTAGTCCAAACAAGCTGATCAGAGCGCCCCATATAAACAACCCAACACCGACACCGACGTGGTGTCCATGTCCAAAAATGGTCGCGGTAGGATGGCCCAAATTTGTAAAAAAATATATATATAACAGAACATGTCTTAAAAATCCATTCAGATACATTTGTACATGCCTACATTTATATGTATAGTTGTTATTTTGACAATTAGTTACGTGTAGTTCAACATAGCATCCAGCAAATGTTGGTGCGACGGCAAAGTCGTGTCCACGGGCAAAAATAGTCGCGGTAGGACGGTCCAAATAAAAAAAAAAATTAACATAACATTTCCTAAAAATCCACTCAGATTTGTAGTTACATGTATAATTGTTACGTGTAATTCACGTCCAGAAAAGACGTTGGTTCAACTTTCATTTTGGAACTATTTTTCAACCATGACGAGACGTGTCGGCCCGACGTCTTTGCAACGTTGATTAAATGTCCGAATGTTTGCTGGGAATGCAATTAAACAATTTCACTTAAACAAGGAACGTTTCGCCTGCTGTGGCCCAAACGCACTTCCCCCTGCTCCCCCTGTAGCTTGCCAGATGTCTCTAGAGAGTTTGTTGAAGAGGTTATGTTGTTCTGGAAGAACCCCTGCTCCGCCGACACACCGGAGTTGTACATTACATTTTAAAGGTCTTTAAAGGCTAACAGACAGTCTGAATGAAGCTGCAGACTTTTCTTCCTTTTACATTTAGCACAAACAGCTCTGAGGCTTTAAGGGTGAAAAACCTTAATTTGTTCATATTTTATCTCTGCTGGATGATTAGAAATCACAGCCATCTCCATAATTCAGTCTTGCAGAGAAAACAATCGTATAACAGAGAAATTCTGATAAAAGTGAAGAAACTCCTCCACACGAGTCCAATCTGTAATTTCTGGTGCACATCATCACCAGAGGAGAGACCAATAAGGAAACTCTTCACCAAAATATTCTGAGCGTAATTAATAATCCTCAGGCTCATTTTTCTTCCTGTAATTTGAAGGAAATTAACTCCTGAAAGGTCCTCTAAGAAAACTCGCTCATGTTTAATTTGATTTCAGATTAATTATTTTCCTGTCCTGGTTGCAGAGAAGTTTCAGCCCTTTAAGGCGACCGAAGGAGAAGAGGTCACGCTGCGTTTCTGTGGATCTGAACACAGAAACAAAAGCACCACGGTTTGCTGCTGCTGCTGGATTCAAAGTCTTTATCCTCTGAATGTCGCCTTCCTCTTCCATCTACCACTTCTCCATCAGAGACCACATTTATTCAGTAAGCAGAGACGTGTGTCTGCCTGGAGACTCTTCCAGGTCTTCAAATATTAAACTGGTGTGGTTTGTTTACTTTGACTCCAGCGAGCATGCCGGTGGTGGAAACGCTGAAGTCCAGGTAAGCCAGGGTGTCGGGGTTGGACGGTTTGTACAGCAGGGGGGGTTTCTTCTTTGGCAAATCATCTGGAAAAATAAAATAAATAAAATATGTCAGTGAAAACTAAGAATTTGTAAAAGCTGCTTCTGTTTATCTCAAAAAGGATTTTGGATTTGAGATTTCTTGCTTCTGTTTGAATAAAAACAGTAAAACGACCTCCATTTTGTTTTTATAATTTAAATGACATCAGTAATAAAACCTTCCACCAACGTCTTCATCAGAGTGAAGCTGAGGTTCACGCTCCTGTTAGGAGTTACACTAACGAGGTGATTGACAGGTCTGCTGTCAGCCAATGAAAAAGCTCAATGGGCTTCATGCAGGAAATTACGTCATATATTGTAAAAACAATGAAATACAGACAGAAAATATAGGAATAAAGATAGATCTACAATTATGAATGGGAAAAAAGGAGTGTGTGTGTGTGTGTGTGTGTGTGTGTGTGTGTGTACCCGTGTCTATGACGGGGGGCCACATTCGTACATCCACGGCTGCCGATGCCTCCTTGGACCTCAGCAGCTTGGTGATGATCTGTGTGGTCATCACACACACCGACCGGCTCACCTGCAGAGGACAGTCAGACAATCATTTCTGTGTGGTCAGAGGTCAGCTGCAGCTTTCCCTGGGATGTGTAAATTATCATCTTCGTTATTCAGTATTTAAGTTCCCTCTTTGAACTCATCTCCCAGCTTTTGCGTCCGTGGTCAAATACCAGAGACAGGTGAGCCTTTACCTCCACGATCATCTTGACGGTGGGCAGCGTGGTGGCGATGTTCTGTGGGTGAGGAGGCCTCACGGTGATCGGGACGCAGCCGGCGTAAAGGCAGCCGTAAAACGCAGCGATAAGGTCGATTCCTGGAGGAGGGATTTGGGAGACGTTTAAAGATAAGAGATGATTTCAGCAGAAGAAAACAGGAGGAAGAACAAAAGGAATGTGGAGGCTGAATATTGAGCCATGGACTCAGGAGATCGTTAATTGATTCCTGCTTTAACAAAATCTCCTCGTGTCCGCGACTTTGTCCCGCTCTGCTTCATCTGTCCCGACATGATTGACACAGAGCTTTGTGCCTCTGAGGGGAATTAGAATTCCTACCTTTAATCATCCCTGCAGCGCTCCATTCGATGCATGAATGTCTGTTTTAGTCCTTCAGCTATAAAAACTTCCACTCTCTCCTTGTTTACAACAAACCAGTCCTGGGACTTTTGTCTTCTTTTGTCTTTTCTGCTCAGTCAGGAAACTTCCCAGCTTGTTTTAGTGGAATTTCTCATTTTCTGGATGCCTGGTGAATCTGCAGTCGGTTCTCACCTGGAGGGTAAACCAGTGCGACGTGGTCTCCGTCCTGCAGGTGGCCCCGTTCAGCTAGCATAGCAGCAATCTTCTCTGCTCTCTTATGCAGCTGAACACATGTCAGAGAGCTGGCTACAGTACCCTGGAGTTCACACACACACACACACGCACACGCACACGCACACACACACACACACACACACACACACACACACTCTTAGGGGTGATTGGCACTTTCAATCAGCAGAGTGCATCAGCAGATGTCGAGTCAGATTTTATGCTGCAGCATCTCAGAGCCCAGCAGGATGTAAACAGACAGACGGACCTTATTCTCATTATGTAAACCAAGCCTACAGTCATTATTGTTCACCATCACCAGATCAAACTCATCCTTTTGTTCAGTTTTGATCATTTTAGCAACCTCTGGCCTCAGAAAAGAGATCCTGTTTCCGATTTGCTTCGAATGACTCATCCTGTTTTTAACCCAACCTGGAAAAAAACTTAAATGAATTTATTCATTTATTTTAAAACCTCTCTGGATCAACATCTACAGGTTTATTTGATGTAACAGGTGAAAAAAAAACTTAAAATGACAACTTTTTTTTTTTACAAACATATGTTTTAGGCTGCACGTGAAATCAAAAACTGCAGGAGTCTGTGTGTGTGTGTGTGTGAGTGTGTGCTGAGGTTTTACCCTGCTGTTGAGGAGTGTGTACAGGACGTGGTCCGGTGTGCTCTGAGCTCTCCACTGCAGCACCTCAGACAGGAAGAGGAACTAAAAGACACAAACAGAGAAAATGATGATTATTTATAAACTTCACACTGAGGAACCTGAGAGAATGTTTACCTGTCCAGGTAAGTTTGACTTATTTTAATATAATTTCATTTCTACCATCCAAATCCTTCCAGTTAGTCTGTGGATCGGCCTGACATTTACTTGGGTGTTGAACTTGTGCAGGATTATGGGTAAAATAAATGTGATCAGTTAAACTAAAGGTCTAACACAACATAAGTCAGTTAAACTTCTCAGAAATGAAAGAAAATAAAAAATAACTCATTTATTTATTTTCTTTATTAGCCCCATTTTTTTCTTTTGTTATTTCTCCCATGTGCCACTAGGGGGAGCTCACCATTGGACTTTATCTTAACTAGTTTATTTCAGACAAGTTTAACCCCATGAAAAGAATAAACTATTTATTGTTCACATATTATAAATCTGTAAATTTCACATTGAAATAATTAGTTATTCACTTAAGCTGTTCTAGTATTTGAAATAAAACCCTTTTCCTAATTTCTCATGCACTGACTGAGTCTACATTGTAGTTTTTTTTTGTTTTGTTTAAGTTCTTTATTTGCCTAAATTAAGGCCTTCAGCAGAACCACCAACGAGGTGGGTCATCACCATTTCTGCTGGTTCTGGACTTCAGTTTAGTGATCTCTTCTAAACGTGAGCAGCTTGTTGAACACACGAATTAGGAGTGGGATTATAACAGTAAACCAAAATAATAATCCACTCCACCATGAGAGAACAGTAAGAACCAGACTTTCAGCATCAGCAGCGTTAGCCAATCAGCTTCATGATTCTACCTAAAAACATTTGTGAATGCAGCTCTGCATTGTAGGACAGCTTTCATTAAAAGCAACAAGGCTTTCATAGATGCAAATTTGCATCGACTCAGAGCCAACTGCTCATTAAAAGTGGGTTTATAAATGCAGATAAGTCCTCGTTGTTGGGAAAATCCAACAGTCTGAGTCAAAATGAGGCTTTAAGGGGTTAGTGGGGCAACACTGGGGTCAAAATTGTCATTCAACAGGAAGTTTAAAGGTTTAAGGAATAAATTCACCAATTTCGAAACTACACAAAGTCAGTCTAAAATCTGTTTATTAAATGCAGTAAATGAACCTAACATGCATGTTTTTGGCCTATGAAAGCAAAACCACATATGCATGCTAACCCATGCATGAGGAGAACATGCTAACTCCACACATGCATGAGGAGAACACGCCAACTCCACACATGCATGAGAACACGCGAACTCCACGCATGCATGAGGAGAACATGCCAACTCCACACATGCATGAGAACACGCGAACTCCACACATGCATGAGGAGAACACGCCAACTCCACACATGCATGAGAACACGCGAACTCCACACATGCATGAGGAGAACATGCCAACTCCACACATGCATGAGAACAAGCAAACTCCACACATGCATGAGGAGAACACGCCAACTCCACACATGCGTGAGAACATGCCAACTCCACACATGCATGAGGAGAACACGCCAACTCCACACATGCATGAGAACAAGCAAACTCCACACATACATGAGGAGAACACGCCAACTCCACGCATGCATGAGAAGAACATGCCAACTCCACACATGCATGAGAACAAGCAAACTCCACACATGCATGAGGAGAACACGCCAACTCCACACATGCATGAGAACATGCCAACTCCACACATGAATGAGGAGAACATGCCAACTCCACACATGCATGAGGAGAACACGCTAACTCCACACATGCATGAGAACATGCCAACTCCACACACGCATGAGGAGAACACACCAACTCCACACATGCATGAGGAGAACACGCCAACTCCACGCATGCATGAGGAGAACATGCTAACTTCACACATGCATGAGGAGAATACGCCAACTCCACGCGTGCATGAGGAGAACATGCCAACTCCACACATGCATGAGAACATGCAAACTCCACACATGCATGAGGAGAACACACCAACTCCACACATGCATGAGGAGAGCATGCCAACTCCACACATGCATGAGAACATGTCAACTCCACACATGCATGAGGAGAACACGCCAATTCCACACATGCATGAGGAGAACACGCCAACTCCACACATGCATGAGGAGAACACGCCAACTCCACACATGCATGAGGAGAACACGCCAACTCCACACATGCATGAGGAGAACACGCCAACTCCACACATGCATGAGCAGAACATGCCAACTCCACACATGCATGAGAAGAACACGCTAACTCCACACATGCATGAGCAGAACACGCCAACTCCACACATGCATGAGGAGAACACGCTAACTCCACACATGCATGAGGAGAACACGCCAACTCCACACATGCATGAGGAGAACACGCCAACTCCACACATGCATGAGCAGAACATGCCAACTCCACACATGCATGAGGAGAACACGCTAACTCCACACATGCATGAGGAGAACACGCTAACTCCACACATGCATGAGGAGAACACGCCAACTCCACACATGCATGAGCAGAACATGCCATCTCCACAAATGTATGTTATCAGGGCAAACCCAAACACACGAGGCTTCATCAGTAATTTACGACTAAATTACAACAAAAGAAAATGAAGGCAAGAAAAAATGTTGGCTGAGCTGAATAAGAGGAAGAGGATACAAAAACTTCCTGGTTTGGTGAATTTGTTCAAGTTTAAAAAAACTGCTGCCAGGAATCATTTATGACTGTTAGGCTTCACCAGAGAATGTCTAACTTTCATGCACCCACACACTGAAGGGAGAGGTGGGTCTTTGCTCCCGACCACAGACGAAACGCAGCACTTGGACACATGAGGGTGTGTTTGATTTATGCTGCAAATTTTACAACCCAGCCCTGAAGTATGAACAGAGTGAGCCTCTGAGGTTTCTTCAGCAACCCGTTCCTTAAATGTTGTGCAACTCAATTACACTGGACAAAAATATAAACTCAACACTTTGGTTTTTGGTCCCATTTTTCAGGAGCTGAACTCAAACATTGGAAACTTTTTCTACATGCACAAAACACCCATGACTCATGGATGTACTGGCCAGTCTAAGGCACACCTGTACATTATTCATGCTGTCTAATCAGCCCCTTGATATGCCACACCTGTGAGGCGGGCTGGATTATCTTGGTAAAGGAAAAGTGCCCACTAACACACATGTAGACAGATTTCAGAGGTTTGAGCTCAGCTCATGAAAAATGGGAGAAAAAACAAAATAGTTGGGTTTATATTTTTGTTCAGTGTAGAACAAATATGCTGATTTAAATGTTTTTATGCATGAATGAAAAGTGTTAAATGTAAAATATAATGTCCTTCTTGCACAGATCTGATGTGTTTTTGCACAAACTATCAGACTCATTCTTCTTCATGTTACTCCGAGTTTGTCTGCTGAACAGGAAACTCGTTAAACAGCGACTTTTACCCACAACGTGACTCTGCTGAAAACATTACTCAGTTCCTTCATTTAATCTCATGAAGTCAGAGTCTCACTGCAGAGAGATGCCCTCACCACCAGCTCCACGCTTCACTAACCTCTGGAGATACAAAGGTTTTCCTCTGCAAATGAAAACATCACTCAGCTGCATGCCGACTCACTCAGCTTTCATAAAACAGCAAATTAAAATCCGTCTTCCCTCCAGATCCCAAAGATCCCTGCTGCATACTTTAACATCAGCTGTTCAGAGACTGAGACGCCTCACAGCTCAGCGACTGGAACAAAATATCATCCCACAAAGTTCCTGTAAATAATCTTTAAGTCTGTAAATTATAGGAAATATTTTAATACTAACATAAAATTGTAGGAGGTACAAAATAAAATAAAAAAGCCCCACTGGACTGATTAGAAAGAATATTGGATGGTCGTTGCTGAAGACAAGTCAAATTCCACAGTGATCTCGGAGACTCTTTTGTGCTTTCTCGCTACAGGCCGTGAAACCAAGGAGATTGGGGTCCTGATGCATGTGCTTCTACCAGACGGGGCATCAAGGTCACTCATCTCATCCCTCCCACTGCTGCGGAACTGCTGCTGAGGGGACCACCACGACTACGCCATCCTCATGCGAGCTCACCGAGGACAGCAGATAAGTAAACGATCTGCCTTAAGCTTGCAGGGTCCATCCACCACACCATTGCTGATGTTTGGTGATCACACTCTACCCTGGAACCGCCCCTCAGCATCTGACGGAATGAGTGGAAACAGCAGCAGTTGGGAGGAACAACGGAAACGACACCTGGTGGTTGAGACTCCCCCTGAGTCCGTCCACACGACACTGTGACCTGCCTCCAATGATGTCAAGATCCAGTACCCCAAATCTCCCGTCTGGTTCATGGCTCCCTGACCAAAAAGACATCCCCTCACCGTCCCAACCGTCACAGGAGCCCACGTTGCTATAACAACATCAAAGTTGCGGACACACACCTTTTGCTCAGGATGGCTCTCTCTCCTGCCACACGACTGATGTGGCCTAAAGTGCAGATTGGCTCCCTGCCACCCGCCTCACATCGCATGAGGACGGCGTCCCTACGAGGACATTCGAGCTGAAGTAAGAGAGTCTGGGTCTGTTATGACCTTTTGCCCCTTTCCACCAATGAAAGCCAAGCCCTTCACATCGACGGCCCCACCACCGGGACTCTTCTGTATCATCTCGACGAAAGTGCAACACCATCCCAATGTGATCTTCATTGCTCTGCCCCCCACTGCAGTCCCTCATAAACCCAACTGATAAGCCCTGTGACCCTTGGTTCTGCCCCAATTAGAGCTGCTAAGCTCCCTGACGCCTCCCATGCTTCATAGATTGGCTGTCAAAAAGAAATTGGTATCGGCTTTTGTGACAATGTTTGTTCTGTGTTTAAGCCTTGTTTGTGGTAGAAGAATGGTTGACAGGCTCCTGACAGAGGCTTTAGTTCATATTTTACCTAATAAAGCTTTAGTTCATATTTTCCCCTGATAAAGCTGGTTTCGTTATGATTTCAACAGTGTAAACT